TCTTCGTCTCCCTATCGACCGCCTTTCATCGGCGTCGACTCTCGCCCCCATGCTTCCCCTCTGCGCTTGAGTAGAGTCGACCGACATCTTGTCTTCGCCTAACCTTGAACCTCACCGCTTCGCCAGAGGCGGACGTCGACATATAAAAACAGCCCGCTGGGCCTCAATCTACCGCTCTGAGCCCAACCTAAAATCGGCCCAGCTTTCACACGTTCCCCTCTCGACCCCGTTTTCTTTCACCTCGTCTCCCATGGCATCGAAACCTCGCGATGCCTCCACCGTCACCCCCGGTGATGTCGACGCCAACGACCGGCCGGTCAAGGAGAAGCGCCGCGTGAGCTCCAGTGGCAAAGACAAGTCTGAGCGCCGCGACCGTGACCGGGATCGGGACCGGGACCGTGAACGAGATCGCGAACACCGCAACAGTATGCCTTCGCCGTCGGCGTTGTCGTCGCTGCTGTCCCACCGCTCGTCACACCACAAATCGTCTTCGGGCTCGGCACCCCGCTCATCAAAGACCCGCACTAGCGAGAGCGACCTTGTCTATCCCTCGTCGTCTTCCCTCTCTCGTAGCCAACGACGCAAGCTGACCGACGGCGAATCCGCCGGCAGCAGCAGCAAGCCTCACCGGTCATCGTCTGCGAACCACAAAACGAGCAGCGGCAGCCGGCGGCGGACCAAGGACAAGGACGGCAGCTCGTCTGAGCGGCGTGAAAAGAGGTCGTCTACCATGACGGGAGGCGGAACGTCGTCATCGCTCCCCGATGTCGACGAGCACACCAAGCCCCGCTCCGCCTCCCTCTCGATCTCCTCCTCTACCGGCGACCTCGTTCCGGAGATGAGCCGCAGCCGCGAGCGGCTGCCATACCCGTCTGTCAACAAAGCCTTTAGCCGTGAGTCGGTAATCAGCCGTGAAGATCTATCGGCCCCGTCACGGGCATCGGCCGGGTCTGTGAAACATCGCACAGGCGACCCCTTGACGCCTGATGCGACCGATCTCAGTGCCGGTGCCGCCGGCATGCAGCGCTCAAAATCGTCCAGTGCAAACGACTCTCGACCGGGCTCACGTGCGACTAGAAAAGACAAGTCGTCGGCGGCATACAGCTCGGTACCGTCGTCACGCAAGAACAGTCGCACCCGTGCCAGCAGCCGTCACCATGACCGGCCACCCAGCCCACCTGACACTAATCTATCTAGCACAAAGAAAGCACGCGAAAAGGGTAGCAGCGAAAACAAGGACGACGATACCAAAGACAAGGCGAAGGATGCAAAGGACTCTGACTACGAAGATGATGACAAGAGTGAGTTGGATCCCGGACTGGGCTCAAACACGCACAAGAGTCAGACGAGCAGAGTGCGGATTAGGAAGAGCCGCACACCCTCCACACTTGGCGGCAGTGTTACGACGGCGCACGACCTATCCAAGTCGGCTCCCTCCGACAACTCCTTGGTTTCCAGCCAAGCCACATATACGGTAGGCGCACGTGACAAGATCTCGCAGGTTACAGCCTCAAAACAGGACGCAAGACGTCGGTCGCCGGCCGAGGCCAGCGATGCCGACTTCTCACCAGAATCTGCTCAGGAATCTTCATCCCCCAAGACGCCGAACCCCGAAGCGTCTCCCAAATTCTTCGCTTCTGGTGCCGACTGGAAGCAACCACCACCACCGCCACACCCACATCCTCATCTCCAGTACCCCCCACAACGCTTCCCAAGTGGCACAGCAGCGGCTGCTGCTGCCGCCGTTGCTGCCGACCGTCTGTACACCCCATCTCCTGCCCCAGGGAGTCCTCGCAGCTCGGAGCTGTCCGCTACGGAGAGCCCAGAGGACGACGACACCTCGGCGTCTATGGCTTCCGCCGTACCTCCTGCTCCACCACCACCGCCGCCTCTCACAATCGTCGAGGTTCCTCGCATCGACTATCTCATGCAGAATGGCGGTCTGCCAAATCCTATCCCCAAGAATTTCTTAGCCGTCCTACCCCGGCAGAACTTTGCGCGTCCTATGAACCCTCCGCTGCAGGGTGCTGAGACCTTGTTTCAGCCATTCTTCAACCTCCTCAACCAGTACAACAGTGTGCTTTCAGGCCACGGATCGGTCGCCGTTGCTACCGGACACCGCACAGTTGCCCGCCGTCTCCTAGACCGCCTTGAGAATGTCTTCTCCCGGGAGCTCCCTGCAGAAGGATGCTCTTGCGTGGTCTGTGAATCCAGCGGCGATGTACACCGCGGCCTTGGCTGGGGCGAGGTGCTTGAGCGAGTGAGCGGCCGTGTTGACTTGCCGACGTGGCCTCCGGTCAACATTTCCGAGCTGGAGAAGCGCCTGGACGCTGCCGCAGTCGCTGCCGCGGCTGTTGGTGGCGGCACAGGCGCGGCAGCGGGCCTTCCTGTGCGGCCTTCCTCACCTGTCAAGATCGATCCTGATATCGCTGAAGAATTTCGCGAGCATTACCTTCGGCAGAACAAGAAGGTCCGTGCCAGCGTGGATCGCTGGATGCGCGACTGTGCTTCGGCGCCCGCGTCGGCTCCACAGGAAATCGACGATGAGACGCTGGCTTTTGCAATTTTGACCAATCTCGGCCAAGACGAGCGTCCGCTGTTTAACGCACTGCTCTCTGGCTCGCGTGACCTGGTGCCGACCGTGCGGGCGCCGACGCCGATGCGGAAGCCACGACAGAACTTTATCATCAAGACTGGCCTTGCCATTCAGCGGCTGTACCGATTGGGCACAGCGCCTCGCGACGCTGAGACGACGCTGTACCTCGTCAAGAATCCCAGTGTGCACGACCTGCTGCATACGATTGCGGACATCCACCCGTCCGAGTGGGAGATTCTCATATCGGGCCGCTTTGACGGCTTTTTGTGGTCGGGCGCCGACACCAACGACGACGACGTGGCCACGCCAATTGCCGGTGAGCCGTCCGGCTTCTTCCCAGCCACATCCATTCCATCTACGTCGCGTGGCCCGACGCCGGCCATGGGACTGCGAGGTCCAACGCCCATGTCCCGGGGCCCGACGCCAGCCAGCGGCTTCGGCGGCCTGGCGAGCAACCCTGTGTCACGCAATGCGACGCCGGCCTCGTTCATCAGCAACTTCTCCAACGCATTGTCGTCGGCGTCGACGAACGCGACGCGCCAGGCCGTGTCGACGGACGAGGAAGCGGAAGTCGCCGCCCTTGCCGAGATTGAGCGTGAGATTTACTTGGGCATGGAGGCGCTCGAGGACGCCTTTGAGGTGTTGCACCGGCGTGCCGAGATGGTGCGCACCGGTCTTCGGCAGCGCAGCGCCGGCCTGTCCATGCGACTGCAGCAGCGGCGGGTCGGCGGGCTGGGTGGGGCCGCCGCGCAAATCGATGTCCTGCCGCAGTCGGGGGGTGGCGGACCATCGGGCAACGACTTTGAGCGGCCTGCCTGGTCTGTACCGGGGACGCCCGCGCCTGGCGGTGGCATGCACGTGCCGGTCCATCCGCACGAATTTTCCATGGACCCGTACGACCCGGGCGCCGCCAGCGAGGCCGACTGGGACGCAGGCGACGACTTCTTTGAGCTCAAGCCCGAGGACTCTGCCAGTAACATTAGCAGCTCGCAGCACCGGCGGCCGAAGCGACGAAGCGAGCGCCGGACGCCCGCTCCGATCGAAGAAGAGGATGAGTGAAGGGGATGAATGGAGGCTCGTTTATGAGCGATCGTTTGAATCCGGATCATGTGAAATGTGACATGTGAAATGTGAAATTGTTGTTTTATTTTATTTTATTTTCCTAGCCTTGAACCAAGTTGAGTCGGGCTGCATCACGGCGGAGTTTATTACAATGTTAAATCTGTGCATCGTCTGATTGTCTTTTGCGATGATTTCCTTTGCATCTTTGTTGTCTTCTTTACTTATTCCCCTGATACAGCCAATGAAATATTCCGCAAAACACACTACCGGTGACGCGTGAATTAAACAAAGTGGTCAAATTTCCGTCACCATGCGTTGAGGCTGGAAGATCCTCCTCTTCCATCGACTCCAACGACTCGAGTCAGTCTCTGTCTAGCATATAACAAACACTCGTCGACTTTCTAGATCCGAGAGTCGATTGGTCCTTTTCGTCTGTTTTCATGTTTTATTTTAACTTTTAATTTTCTTTTCTGTTTCTGCTTCCTCGTCTCGTCTTATTTGCCCGGCCGCCTCTCCACGATCTCATTATAACCCCAACTTTGTCATATGGTCTCGAGCGCTGAGCGGCAATATAAGCTGCATTTCTCTCCACGTATTTTGCCTCCGATGATGTTCAGGCTAAACAGCCATGTCATCTGGCCAAGGCCAGACGGCCTCTTCTCATTTTCCATTCTCTTTGTTTTTTTATCGTGTTTCCCTTTGCAATACTGTTTTCTCGGCCGTGCCGCTGTGCAATGTGTAAGAGGGCTACCCTGCAGGAGAATGATATATCCCGTATGTACGTGACGCACTGCTGTCTATCCACTCTGCCTGTCCAACAGATGGTCTTTATTTCTGTAATTTGGACTCCATCCGCATACAATACGTATATTTGAATTTTCTGTTGGTTCTGTGCTTTTTGCCATGCCGTTTCGCTCTCATATTCCCAAGAGTCGATGGGAAGACAGGTGTGAGGGTAAATCGTGAGCGTGCTCGTCTTCCTCATCACACCCGTGTCGTCGGGTCTTTTTCTCATTTTTGTTCCCTGTCCCTGCCCGTATATTTGATTCCAGCCTCGGCGTTCTTGGTATCTATTTCTATTCTATTGCCACAGTTCATTCTTTGTCTGTTGGTACGCTACGACGGCTTGGCACAGAAACCGAGGCCAACACAAACGTCGCATTTGACTCCTTTTTCCCGACGGGCCAGCAGCGCTCTGTTGAAGAGGGAGACTAAAGGAAGACAATAACTCAATTCATACAAGAAGCAGAGAGCTCGCACGTACGGCACATTGTCTAGCCAGCCTAAAGCACCGCATACGAACCGAAACTCACAGCATCGCGATATCAATAACGCCAGCACAATGGCGTCGCGCATAGCAAATGCGCTGACACTTCTGCTAGCGGCAGCCCACGTCCTTGCCGCTGAGACCGCAAACGGACCAGTTGCACTCTCGTTGTCGGCTACACAGGCGGAGGGTCGAACAAACGGCTTGTCACGACGCAATGCCGACATTCCTCTCACAAACCTATCCACCGTGGCCTACCTGGTGACGTGTATGTGCTGGCATTTTGTTGTTTGTTGAAACGTGCCTCGTCTCTACTGACCATCCTCAGTGAGCATAGGAACGCCTGGTCAAAAGGTCCGTGTGGTCGTCGACACGGGCTCCGATGAGCTCTGGGTCAACCCGAGCTGCAACAGCTCGTCCAGCGCCAGCAGTGGGCGGAGCAACGGCGTGACGGGTGTCGATCAAAAGGAGTGCCTGGCCAGCGGCCGGTACGACCCGGGCAGCTCGAGCACCAGCATCAACCTGAACAAGAGCGGGAAGATCCAGTATGCGTTGGGCAGCGTCGCGCTCGACTACTACAACGACACGGTGGCGCAGCCCGACAGCGGCGTGACGCTCAAAAGCTTGCAGTTTGGCGTGGCGCGCCAGAGCGAGGACCTGTACGAGGGAATTCTGGGGCTGGGGTTCGCCGAGAACCACAACTACACGACGTTTGTGAGTGCGGCGGCCGAGCAGGGCGCGGCCGGCGGGCCGGGCAAAGTGTTTAGCATCGGCCTGGCGTCGGCCAACGAGCTGAATGCGGGCACGCTGGTGCTGGGCGGTCTGGACACGAACCGGTTTACGGGGCCGATGATGGGCGTGCCGATCCTGCCGCCGCCGCCGTCGGACACCCTGGTGCGGTATTGGGTCAAGCTGGACTCGATTGGGCTCACCGGCAGCACGGTGAGCAGCAGCAGCGGCACGAGCAGCGGCAGCAACAATGCGAGCAAGACCTATCCCAACTCGGGCGCACCCATCGTCCTCGACACAGGCTCGACGCTCTCGATCCTGCCGTTTTCCATCTTGGCCGCCCTCGCCAAGGATTTGGGCGCCAGCATGACGCAGGGCAGCCGCAACGAGTACGCGCGGCTGACGGGACGGGCGCCCGACGCGGCCGTCAACGCCGCCATCTTCCCCGTGCCCTGCACGGCCCTTGGTCTGGGCGCCGATGTGCACAGCAAGGAGAACCTGGCGGGTCTCAAGCGCACCGTCGACTTTTCGTTCAACAACGGCGCCGCTCTCGTCCGCGTGCCCTTGTCCGAGTTTGGCATCCAGATTACGACCGACATGTGCGTCCTGGGAGGCATTGCCATGGATGACGGCCTGTCGTCGTCGTCGTCGTCAGGTCCAGGCACGGGCATCCCCCAACCCGACGCAGGCGCCACGCTGCTGCTAGGCGCCACATTCCTGCGCGGCGCCTACGTCGTCTACGACCAGGCAGCGAACAGCGTCTTCATGGCTCCGTACGCGCACTGCAACGCCGGCACCGCCAACTTGCAGCCGCTGGCCTCGGCGAAAGCAGGGGCGGCTGCCGGGTTTACAGGCGCGTGTTCTGTAGCAGACAGTTTGTATGGTGGCGGTGCCGGCGGCTTTTCGGCAGCGGCGGCGGCTACTGCGCCGTCTTCAGGAGACAGCGGAGAAGACAAGAAGAACGCGGGCCGGCGGAGCAGCAGCGTGTCGACAATATCGCTTGTGGCGGCCGTGCTGTCGGTGCTGGCATTTCTCTGCACGTAATGTCGGGGAGTCGGGGAGTCGGGGAGTCTGGGAGTCTGCTCGTGTACGTCATACTGTTGTATTCCACTCTGTTTCGCATATCTTCTGTCGCATTCCCACGTTGTTTGGATCGAGTTACGTTGGTCGGTTGGGAATGGTGATGAAGCTGACGAGAATTGGAGTCTGGGGCCATCTCTGATCCAAGCCCCGTCTTTGTTTGTGTCTTATTTAACCAATCACGTGTCTATTTTGAATTATCGTTAAGATTTTGATGAATGGCACCTTTGCCAGTGTATTCTTGAAAGAAGGCGCAGCTAGGTTTATCTGTCAGGTCATTCTTACCCTTTCGAGTTTCCGTCGGTCGCTGATAACGACAAGCTACGTCGCCCCTTCCGTAAATGTTGTGTGAAGCAAATCTGGAACAACAAGGAACGATGGAAGAGTACTGTAGCCTATCTTGGATCAGAACGACCTGAACTGAAATCTCCCAACTTCAATAAAGGCTGCCATCATCTACCAACCCATCGCGCTCCCCTAGCAAAGCAACTCTCCCAGCTATACCGGCACGGACTATTTTAGGTGCCGCACCGCTCAGCGGCCTTGTGACCGTCAATGTCTTGCGCGCACATCAGACGTCAGCAAGCTCTTAGGAAGACGCCATGAAAGAAGGAGCCGAAAGAGGCATAGGACAACGTGAAACAAATGAGATGTGAAGCAAAAGGGAATATGGGTTGTCTGGATTTGCAACAGGAGACACATTCGTTTTGGTGTCGTCGCCTATAATATACCAACATATCCACCTTCGAAATTCAGATTCAACAATGGTGTCTTGAATCCTCATTCTCCAGTCTTCGACGAAACTTCATTTCACCGTCCGTTTCCCCCAAGACACAACATCGCCTAGCAGCGTATCGTGGGAGATGGCCGTATCCGGGGACGTCGGGTGAAATTGGCGATACTACCACTTGGTACTCTCAGTCTGTCAATTTTCTTAATCAGAAGATAGCAGAAGAAATGGATCGGGTTTGTCGGTGGGTTTATTCGCCGCCAATGTCTAGTGTCTGTAGCGCCACGATACGCTGTAATTAAAAACTGTCCGTCCCCTTCGCTTCCCAAATAGGAAACTGAAATCTTGTGATTCTATTGGCCCATTTCACCTCTTACAGTCGTGGACTGCAAAACTGCATATTTGGAGACCGAGACATTACGGCACGTCGTCAAGGCAAACCGCTTGAATTTCCGATCTCAATGTGTTTCCAACTCCTTGAATTGCCGTACAATATAGAACATCCGCAAGTCCCCATAGACAAAGGGACGCACACTACCGCCGCGAGTGTTCGGACTGCATCGTCCAGCGCACTCTTACAGGCGCGGGAGAATCCACAATCACTATCTGTAAATAGAGCCTCTCTCACGTAGTATTGACTTCTATTTCATATATTCCTGAATATCGCGAAATATATTTATATATATTGAGTGCGAAATAAGAACTACTAGCTAACTAACTAAGTAACTATCGATAAAGTAACAAGCTGACAAACTAACAAAGCAAATAGCAAATAGCAAATAGCAAATAGCAAAATAACAAAAATAACAAAAATAACAAAAATAACAAAAATAACAAAAATAACACATAACAAAGAACAACTAACAAAAGAGCAAAAAAGCAAAATAATAAAGAGCAAAGAGCAAAAGAGTAAAAAGCAAAATAATAAAGAGCAAAATAACAAAGGGTAAATAACCGAAAATAAGTAAAAATAAACAAAAAACAAAACAAGTAAAGCAAGTAAAGCAAGTAAAGCAAGTAAAGCAAGTAAAGCAAGTAAAGCAAGTAAAGCAAGTAAAGCAAGTAAAGCAAGTAAAGCAAGTAAAGCAAGTAAAGCAAGTAAAGCAAGTAAAGCAAGTAAAGCAAGTAAAGCAAGTAAAACAAGTAAAGCAAGCAAAGGAAAATACAGAAACTGAGCAAAAAACCGTCATGTAAATTCAAAAGCGCAGGAATAAACAAAAACAAATACCGGCGGGATGGTGACAAAATATTAAGTGGGAAAAGGAAATTGAGCAAACTTTGGAAAGAAGAGATGATACCAATCTACCAATCTGGACTTTCGGAAGAAATGTAATGAGAAAACGAGTCGTTTGAACCACTGTGCAATTGGACGGCCCAGGGCAACGTGGAGCCTAGTCGAAGTGACGGGAGCTGCGGCGGTAAAGATCGGGGCGGCTCAGACTACGGCGACGGTCGCCGTCGAAAGTCGACAAAGTCCGTCCGCGGCTCAGCTCACGGAGGCGCAAATCGACATCGTCGAGACGTACTGAAGAGCGGCCACGGGATCTGCTGGTGCGAGACGGGCCTGCGTAGCCAGTCGCTGGCAGATCGTCGAGTGTGGACACCAGAGACGTACGGCCGCGGCTTGGACTGCGAAGACGAGAGGAGGTTGGGGCATGGTCAACGGCCTCATGCTCGTGGAGCCGCACTCGATCTCTGAAAGCTCCGGCAAGGTCGTAGTTGTCTCTCGCATATCTCTCGTGCTCGAAGCGCCCCCCGAGGGTCTGATATGCATACGGTTCCTTGTCCAAGAACCTGTGTCGGCCTCGCGCGTAACTGCCGTTTCATTAGTCTACATCCACATGCGTACGTGGTTGGCTTGCAATACTTACTCCAGGTACGTCGTTGCGCAGTCACTTGCTGGCCCAATGAGAGCCGCATGACCGTCTCTGTTCACATTCGAGACGTCGATAAGCTCGGTCCGTCTCCCCGGCCGGCTTATCCCGCCATATTCGGATGCCATCGTGTCGTATCTCGCCCTCTTTGCGTTGACATCTGGTGTCATGCTTGAGTAGTTGTCGTAAAGGTCTTTCACTGGGGAGCTCCACCCTCTTCCGGGGTACAGCTCGCGGTGCCTTCTTCTGTAGAAGGCGACGTCATGGGTGGGATCAAACCCACCGCTGTAGCTGAATGTGCTGCTGTAGTCGTCTGACATGATGTATTCGCGTATGCGAATATATAGACAGATCAAACAAGTAGAAATTAGGGAAAGGTAAAAAGCGAGTGCCAATGGCAAAAGCGTGAGGGAAATGAACAAGATAGGAAGAAAACAGGTAGCAGCTTAAGAAAGAGAATATGGCAAATGAGAAAGTTGAGATGGTGTTTGAAGGGAAGACTTGGTTTACACAAGAATAAAGCATTCGATTCCTAGCATTTATATAAAAAATGGTATCCATGACAGGGCATCATGGAGACAAGCGAGGCTTTCCGGTATAACATAAAAAGCCTGGTTTATGCTGTCTTCCGTCCGAGAAGATACAGCCATTTTCAGGATCAAACAAGTCGCGAGCCTCAATCTCACAGGAAACACACGAGAAAAGATTAGGCGCTCCCAATCTGTGCAGTCGCCTGAATCATGGCCACGGGCTCGGCCGCATATACACAGAAAGGTCATGGTTTTTGGCCTTTGAAGACGGTGTGGCTAGGACAGGCATGGCAACGTTGGGGACGCAGTTGGGCCGTCGGCTGCCCTATGAAATGGTGCCTCCACGATACATACTGAACAGCCAGCCCTCTCGACCGTCCTTCCACTGCACTGGACCGACCTGTTGGCCGGACGAGAGAGGCCGTGGGCTTTCGACGAGGCATATCTTTGGCAACAGTTTCACCGCTGAATGCATTACACCCAGTAAAAATTTTGGGCTGCAAGAGGCCGCTGGCGCCTGGAAAGGGTACTTTGAGAAACGCGAATTCACGAGAGTATCGATGCGCGCGCCTACTGCAAGAGGTTGTCGTACAAAGGGCCGCCAATCATCGCGCAATGTTCGAAATATTAGGCGCTTCAAGTCCAGACCAGGCGCACAGTGGCATATACAGTATAAATGTATAAAATTCACTGTCTACGATATCGTGAGGCAGAATCTCGCTCTTTCCCAATGAGACTGTAATTTATTTAACTCCTTACCTCCTTCCATCTGTATATTCACCCTCTCACTTTTTGCTGCTTATCAAACCTCTTTCCCTCATTCCACATTCTGTCCTTCCTAACTGCTCTTCTCACCTCGAGACAAATCCCCCAAAAATCTGCCGCATCGCAAACTGCCATGCATTTGCACGACATTCCCCCAGAGGTGATTGGCGAGATCTTGTGTGCTCTACATGACCCCAATGATCTCCGGGCCTTTCTCGCGGCATCTCCAACCGTGCTCCGGGTGTTCAATCTCTTTCGAGACCGCATCCTCCTGGCAGTCTCCCTGAATGCCATCGAACCAGAAGTACGCCCCATTGCCCTCGCCATTCGCCATGTGCCTTACATGAAGACGAATGCGGACATCAATCTGCAGCACGGCTTTCTAAACGACTACTTCGGTGGCAAAGTATACGAACCGCCCACTAAGAGCCAAGACATCAAGTCATTTTGTGGTCTTGTCTGCCGCATCCTCTACTTTGTCGACCGCTTTGCCGCCGAAGCATGGTCTTTGCTTCATGATGGTGCCGGTGACGGTGCGGCCTCGCCGGCCCTGTCGCCACTTGTTCTCTCCCGAGCTGAACGCACTGCATTTCAGCGAGGCTTCTTCCTCGTCGAACTCTATGGCAATGTCTTTCCGTCATACCGTACTGGCTTTGACGAATCAGTCATTGGGACCGACGCACAGATCGACCATTTTCTGTCGCGTATACACCCGTGGGACGTGGAGGCCATGGTCTCTGTCCTCTTCTATCAAACCAGGTTCATTCATAAGCATACGCTCCTTGCGGAAGACGACATTGTTGCGCGGGTCATGGCCTTACCCACTGCATACCGCCTCGCCACAAAGTCTCGACCATCGGGCCGAAATGCTGTTACCTTTACAAGCCACGATTTGGAACATGAGGATCCCCCACCAGCATTCGAAACAGTCATGGAGAGAAGCGAGAGGCGGCTTAGGGACGGGAATTGGTATTTCTTTTTCAGGATGGACTACGAGCGACATGGAATCGTCATGTTCTCGAAAGCCCACCGAGTGGTCAATGATTTTGTCGCGTATCTTTCTGTCACGGCCAGCCTGCAATCGCTGTTTATGTACAAGCTGGCTCACCGAGACGGAATCGAGAAGACGAGGCTCGTTACAGGGTCGTATGTTTGTTTGTGGAAATCTGGCTTCCTCGACGATGCGGCGCAGGTGCTTCGACAGAGGCCCGTCTTCGACCATGACGATCGTGGTGCGCCAAAGGGGATGCTCGGAAACGGGTCTGGATTCAATCTCTATCGTCCAAGTCTGCGAACTGATCGGCCTTTGTTTGACGTTGAGGACGACCGGGCCCTCAACGGCGCCTTACGGGCGAGAGGCTATGTGTTCTGGGACGCCGACCGCACAAAACAACCTGCCTTCGCGGCCCGTCTTCAGCAGGCGCACGATTTGCCCCGAGACGAAGTCGCCCGGCTGTACAATGAAGAGAGCTTTGGCCCGAGCGTGCAGGAGAGGCTGGAAGACATCGGCCTCTATCACAACGACCTGTACGACCTTCTGGATGACACGGAGGGTGAGCCGCCTTACAATGACAAATTCAGTCCGTAAGACTAAAGCTAGATGGCGATGAAATGTTTCCAAACACTTTGAATTTCAACAAAAAATAAAATTGAAAAAAAGTACAAGAAACGCAAGCTATCACCTGCCATTTTTACGTGACCGACTGCCCGCGCCGCGCTGTTGTCTTAGTCGATCCAGTCCACCAAGCAACACTAGTTGATGCTGCCGACCGAGAACATGCATCGCTGGCCGGAGTAGGTACAAACACCATGTCTGTCTGACCGGGTACGATTGGCCTGTGTTCCTAAAATTCCATTCACCGGACATCCCAGATCGTCAGGCACAATGTCGTACACAGCTGGATGCCCCGTGCTCGTGTCCAACACAAGTGGCATCGATCGAACTACCAAGCTCGGCGTCGTACTGAATTATCTCATCGCCGCAGGCACCGCCGTCCAGGTCATGCACGCCGACGAGCTCCTCTTCCTTCAACACTCCAAAGATCCAGTCCGTATTGGGTAATTCAATACCTGCCGATGATCACGCCCTGCACTACACCGACGCCGGCAAAGCCCACCCAGAATATTACGCTGTACGCCATGCCCCGTGTCCGCCAGAGGGTACCTACTTGCCCGTGGCGCGTCCCGGGCCGCCCTTCAGCCAATGATTTGATTACCGTAATGCACCGCCCGTACTAATGCATTGAGAAGGGATACATAAAGTAGACCATCTTTGCCCCTGTAAGTGCATTGCTGCGAAGCCACGATGTCCGTGGTTGTGTCAACATGAATAGGAGAAGATAAACAAACTCTAATTTAATTGATCTGACTTACATCGTAGAGTTAGTTGCTTGTTGTTAACAACACTAGTGGCGGTACGTTCGTTGCCACTTCACACGTGATTGACTTTAAAATGCACTGCGCCACGCATGCCGCATCAGCTTTGTGGCCACCGGTGCCAATAGTGTCCAGCCAGACAGCCAGCGTGCTTGCGGTGACGTGACCTGCGCCATTCAAGAACGAATAACGGGCAGGAACGACCGACTTGCGCGGCACTTTAAAGGTTCGAGCCAGCAGTTAACGGGCAGCTGCCACCCGCCATTTACAAGTGTCCCTTCTTTCTTGATTGGGCAACTGTTGAGCTCTGGCTGTGCCAAGGGTAAGAATACGAGAGGCCCACAACAGGACCCCAAGACAACGAGATCCACAACACCACCTTTCGTCACCGTCGTCTCCCATCCCTTGTCTATCCTCATCCGGCCTTCGACAACGGCCACCTGTTGAATCGGCTCTCGTACGAACCGTGGCCGACAGCATCGTTAGTCCGACCGCAGCGCCTGCAGTTCTCACGTTCCAACACATCTAAGATGGGCGACACTCGCCAGAAGGCCATGGACGTCAACCGGTCGCTCCGGTCGATCAAGACGGTGAGTGGAGCTGGGGTGATGACGACGGAAGAGCATGGGAAAGGGGACGGGGAATGGGAAAGGGAAATAGAAAGGGACACCGCGAGACAGCCTGGCTGACACGCCCCAACTGTAGGAGCTCGAGACACTGCTTGAAAAGGGCGCTATCTCCGACGACGACTTCAACTCCATCCACGACCTCCTGCCCCAAGAATGGAGCCTGCGTGGCGGGCCTCCCCCGTCTGCGGCGAACAAGCAGAGACAGGCTCCGGCGATTGCTGCCGCCGCAGCTGCTCTTCAGCCTGGCCAGCCAGGCCCGCCCCTGCCCATCCGCAGCAGCGCCCAACCGTCCGCCCCATCCGCTGCATCGGCGTCAGCAACAGCGCTAGCGCCAGCCGCGTCGTCCGCCGCCGCGACGCCGCCGACTTCCGGAAGAGTCCAACGCGACGACCGCAATGACAATGAACCAGACACCAAGCCCGACGACAACGCTGACAGTGCGGACAGCGACGGCCGCACAGCTGCTGGCTACGCGACGGCCAAGTACAAGTACGAGGCCCCCAGCGACGGCGACCTTGCCTTTGACCGCGGCGACGCCATCGCCGTCTACAGCAAGGTCAACGACGACTGGTGGCTGGGCCGCAACGTCCGCTCGGGCCAGGTCGGCATCTTCCCGCGCCAGTACGTCAAGCCCGAGGCCGCGCTGGCCGAGCTCGAGCGCAACAACCAGCTGCCGGGCCCCAACGACGCCCCGCCGCCGCCCGTGCCGCGACCGGCTGCCGGTAACAGTAACAGCACCAGCAACAGCCGGAGTGCGTCGACGGCGCCACCGTCCTATTATGACCAGTTCGGCAACCCGCCACCGCAGCAGCAGCAGTATGCAGGCGGCGACGCCAAGTACGGCGAGCCCTATGGACAGCAGCCGTATGGGCAGCAACCGTATGGGCAGCAGCAGCCGTATGGACAGCAACCGTACGGGCAGCCCTACGGGCAGCCCTACGGCCAACCCTACGGCCAACAGCACTATGGTCAGCAGCAGCCATACTATGGAGGTGGTCCCAGCGACCAGCCGCCGCCGCCCCAGCAGCCGCAGCAGCAGCCGCCAGAGCAAGGCAGTGGTGACAAAGTCGGTGCCGCCGGTAAAAAGATTGGCGGCAAGCTTGGCAACGCATTTGTCACGGGTGTCGGCTTTGCCGCCGGTGCCGAGCTGGTCGGGGCGATCTTGTAGTTTTTTATCATCCCGGTGCTGCTGCTGTACCTGTTCCACCGCGTGCTGTAGCGGAAGCAGTTTGGACCCGGCTGTCTTCTCGACTTCATTTTATGACCCTTTCATGTCTCGAGCCAATGTTTTTCCCTTATTTCTTTTTAGTCTACTTTTTTTCCACTTAATAATACCTAGAATGCATCCATAGAGCCTACATGACCTAGCCATCGAACTACGTTGATATTTTTCAATCAAAAGAAGATTGATGTTTACAATCAAACTGTGTACGGACCTGGCCAGAGGACCGAGTAAGGTCGAATGCAAGTGACCCAAAGGATAAGAATACTCGATGCAACACAAAGTCTCAGTCTCCGCACCCGACGAGTGGGCGAATTAAACGACGGCCAGCCCTATGGACCATGGGGTGTCTCAGCTGGTGTTAAGTGGTAAACTGGCAGTTCATCCAACGGCCACAGCGGCGCCAGGGGATATATTGATAGTTTATGCTGTTTACCAAGGAGATGCCAGATCAGTATACTTTGTCTTGTCCACATTGTGTGCGTTCGGATTATACAAGTCGTACGTGGCGTTTTGCGTCTCTTCCGTCTTCTCATGGTTCTTTTTACTGGTGGTATTCAATTATTCGAAAAACGTGTTTCTGCCATTTCATTTATATTGCGTCCCTGCGGTGGCTTTCCGCCCGGAAGCAACCCATTTCCTGCTCCTGTTGCTTACCGCTTCTTCAGCTTGTCTCTAACTGGGTTCTCTACTTTATTTACTTTATGTTCGGATGAAATATCGACAAGCCACAAGCCTAGATCCGGGCTCCTTGCCCCTATGAATCTTCCCCCTGCAAGAATTTGTTCTATTCCAGACCCTGGCACCTGTTGTGTTACGGGTCTCACCAATATTCGTATCAAGGCATTACTGCATCCCGACAGCTTCACCGCCGGGAGATAATAGACTAACATCGGCCACGGGTGGCATATGGCTTGGCAGCTGACAGAATTCATTTGCACATCCGACAATGTTTGTAAACGAACGGGCCTGCCATCGCCAGATTCGGAAATGTGGCGGCGAGTATCGGGTGCTCTCGGTCTCTGACAAGCAAACAAAGACGATGTTGGTAGTGCAAGACTGCAGTCGGCCACGTTCCAAATGTTATTATGACAAACGTTTCCGGTAATGTAACTCTGTCGGCACACAATTTGGTCCCTTGGTCACTCCAGTCTACATGACAGACTGCACAGTTGTTATGTTTGTACGGTCTCCAGCCGTGGTTTGCCAAATGCGAGTCCTCTTCCGCAACATGGACCGGATGGAAACCAATTCGTGACGCCGATATCAGAGTTGTCAGCTCATATTCATGACTCGTAGAACCCGACCATTAGGCTCTTCAACGTCTATAAAAAGGCAGTAAGTGTCTCTTAATATTCATTACCACACGTTGTCTGACCTACGACCAAGACGTGCGGCCCAATATTCACATTCTCTCTCTGCCGCTCTGCTCTCACTTACGCGCCTTTCCTTCCTTAGCTCCTCGGCCAATTTTCCTCCTCTCAGAGTTGTTTTTACCTCCAAATACAATGGGGTTCTCCGCTCGCGTTTTGGCTGCCGCCGTCGCGGCGGCTGGCCTTGTCCAGATGGCCAAGGCCAACTGCAATCACAACAACTGCCTCCGCGCCATCATTGCCGACAGCATCACCACTCGCCATGGCGTGGCCGACTGCAACTCGTATCTCTTGACCACGCTTGTCAAGCCGACTAGGTATGTCTTCCATCGGGTGGCTTCCTCATAATGCCCGTCCGCTGTCCCCGACTAACCTGGCAGCACGGAAACTGTCACCGTCACGGTCACGGACTCGGTCCTGTTGCCATCGACGACGACCGAGATCGATCTCTCCACCGCGGTGTCCACGGCCATCGAGAAGGACCGCAGCGCCGCCACGAGCACCGCCACGGACACATCGACCGAGACGTGGACGACCACGACCGCGCACGAGTGTCACCAAGTATACCGCGACGACGCGCACGACGACCCTGACCACCACCACGACCACAGCCAAGAACAACCACTTCAGCCGTGGCGCGGTTCCGGTTCTCACCACGCAGACCATCGTCCCGTCTCTCCTTCCGGCCTATGCGTCGGCCTGCGGCGCGTCCGGCAACGCCACGGCGTCGGCCTCCTCCTACGTGAGTGCGTGCCTGTGCGCCGGTGCCACCACCGCCGTCACCACCAGCCAGCCCGTCGTGACCGTGACGGACACGGCGACGGTCACGAGCACGGGCTACTCGGTGGCGACGGAGACGCTCACGACGACCTCAACGGCCGTCACGACGACGACGACGCTGGCGGTGTCGACGGCCACGGTGACGGCGACCGAGATTGTGCCCACGACCGTGCTCCAGACGATCGTCATCACGACCCGGGCCAAGGCCACCGTGACCGTCACGGCGACCAAAACCATTACGAGCTGGAAGCACTCGTAGGGACCGCGGCGTTTGCCGCAAGATACCGAGACACCGAGCGCGTGACGTGTTACGAGTCAAAGGAAACGGAGAATGGGGCTGCGACCAACGGCTTTGGACAGGGATTGTTTTTCTTTTTCGACTTCTTCTTTATATTCTCACACTTGTTTTATTATTTATATTTACAAGAGGATAGGTGGTCCTCTCGACGGTCCAATGCATACTTGAAAATGGAAGAAACAGAAGTGGCCTACACATAAAAACCTGAGCAGCGAAATAAACCAGCGGATTGTACGATGACTGAAAACGCAAAATAAAGCCAAGAAAATAAAAAGACAACCCAGCGTAATCGTAATGGTACAGCCATAACCGTCCGTGCCCCATCGTCTAGTTCACCTCGCCCCAGCCCAGCATCATCCACGACAGCGTGCCCAGGCATCCTGTCAGGAACAAGAGCGTCAAGAACGCCGCACCGGCCTTGTCGCCCTGGCTGACGGGCCCCGTGTAGGGCAGGATCGACTCGTCGGTGCCGGCACTCGGATTGCCCTGGCTCGTGCCGCCGGTCAGGTTCGTCACGGGCGCCGGCGCTTTGTCGAGCAACATCGACAGCAGCGCGCCGAGCACGTTCATCTCCTGGCCGGCGCCGTTGGTGCCGTCGTAGGTGCCGCCTTGGACCCAGCGGAAGCCGCAGACACGGCCGGTGTCGCCGCCAGTGCACTGGCGCACGGCGGCCTCGGCGGAAGTTTTGAGGGTGGCAAAGATGCGGTCGTGGGTGTAGGGGGCGATCTGGGCGGTGACGGCGAGCCAGCGGTGGATGTAGCCCTTGAAGGAGAGCATGTCGGTGGTGCACGTGAGATTGATGTCGCTTTCGCACGAGATTTCCTTGGCGATGCCGTTGGGAAAGAAGGTGGCGAGCATGTTTGTGAGCAGGCCTTCGACCCGCGTCTTCCAGACGGGGTCCTGCGTGTAGTCGAACATGAAGGCGGCGCCCTGCAGGAAGATGGCGGCGTTGTACGAGAACTGGGCGCGGTTGATGTCGGTGCAGTTCTTGTCCGTGTGGCCGCCGTCGTAGATGTTGTACTGGGCATCAATGAGCCCAACACCCTCGACCCAGTCCCAGGTCTTGGCCGCCCACTGGGCATAGGTGTCGTTGCGGGTGTAGCGGGCGAGGCGCGCGCCGATGTTGAAGAAGCAGCCGTTGGCAATCGAGTTCTTGTAGTTGTACCCATTGTTGAGCGGCGTGATTTGCCAACGCAGGCCGCCGCCGCACTGGTCGTCGCGACGTATCGGCGTGGTCTGCGAGTTGAAGACGGCCTGGGCGAGGGCGAGCCATTGCGGCGCGTCGGCGGGCGGGTTCTCGAAGCCGACTTCGGCGGCCAGGAGGGCGGACATGCCCCAAAAGGACTGGTCGTCGTTGCCGAGCGAGGCGGTCCAGTTGTAGGGCATGTACATGTTCTGGGGCGGCCCCGTCTGGAACTGGAGGGCCTGCATGACCTCGTCGTTGTAGGTGGTGTCACCGGTGTAGTGCCAGTAGTCGATCATGGTGCCCCAGAGGGCACCGCCCTGCCACCAGTAGTACTCGCCGACGGGTGGCGGTCCGGGCAGGATGCCTGGGATCTGGCCGCTGAGGTTTCCCTTGTAGTAGGTCATGACGTCGTAGGCCTTCAGTTTCGCGGCGGCGATGATGGAGGCGGAATTGTCGAGGTCGACCTCGAACGCAGCCAGAGCGGTCCTGGCGGCTACCGCTACGAGGGGTACTATTTTTCGATGCATCGTGGAATATGTGTGTAAGGGAAGGATATGTGTCGAAAAATGGTTTTCGTCGATGGAACTCGACGTCGTGCAGGTCGAGTGGTGATGAACATCGAAAGTCCGTGCAAATAGCGAGTTAGCAATGTCAGAAAGCGTACGGGCACGACCAAACTTGGCGGATAGACAGCTGTGTAATGCAGGGTAATCCAACCCGGGTTGCTCTTTTGCCGTCAATGCATTCCCTGTTTGCAAAGGTAAGGGGCAAGTAAGGTGAATGGAAGAAGGATGAACGGTTGTGCCCTCGATATTGGGTCATTTAGCCGGCGCGCTCAGCCAGCGGCGCAAGGCAACGAATGCAAGTCAACGCGTAGGGTGTTATGCACCAAAACGAAGGTAGCAAAGGAAAAGGAACAAGAAAAAGTAGCTGTCTGTCAAGTAAAAGAAGGCATCTTCTAACAATCGTTTTGTTGATCTCGTCTCGCCGGCACGCAACTCAGCGCAATCGCCTTTGCGCCCCGCTCAACCCCCGTCCTCCTCGACACCGTCATACCGTCATAATGCCCAGCACGCGCTCGTCACGTCCGACAACGCGCTCGCTGTTTTGGGCGTTGCCCAGCGTCGCGAAGCGGTAAACCCCGCCGGCGGCGGGGATGCCAAACTCGTCGCTCGTGCTCAGCGTGAGGGCCTGCGTGTCAAGCTTTTCGGCCAGGTCACGTCACGTATCAGCCGGGCAATGCGTGTGCCACCAGGACGCGTCGGCGTACCGTGCCGTTTCAGAATGTCATCTGTCCTCGTAGTAGTTACCGAACGTGCGGGTCTTGACGTGGTCAACTATAACGTTACCCAGGCCCGTGTCAAAGGCCGTCATGCGGCTGCCGTCCTTGTGGGCGTTCGCTGCAGATTGACAGCCGCCAATCTTGATGGCGACGGTGAAGGCAGGATCTTCATCGTTACGGCCGCGGGCGGCCACGTCGATGTAGCACAGGACGACGTCAACGCCGTCAAAAACCGAGCCGCTGTTGAGGCCGAGGATGTAGATAGACCACTTTGCGAGGGAGACGTGGTAGGAGAGAGGTGGACGTGGAAGGTTATAAACAGAGAAAAGGGGCGAATGGAAGGCAAGCGTGTCGTGGAAGAAAAGGAGCCGATATGCTGAACAGAGGAAGGAACGATTGATGGGGTTGAGTAACAACTTTATATCAACAAAGCAACTCAGTTAACAGGAAGGCGCGACCCAGTCGGTGACAGACGTGTTTCGGAGAATGGTTTTCGTCACGAAACACGAGACAAAGGAGCCAAAAGACCTGACGACAAGGCCGCACTCGTGAGTGGCCAAGAACGATCCTAGACGCGAGATTTCACCACACAGTTTTGCTTCCGAACGCGCAAGGTGTAGGATCCGTCCATCGTTTGGCAGAGCGGCGATGACGACACGTCCAAGTAAGTTTACGTTTTGTTCTATACTGTACACAAAACAACACGAAAAGGTGGTCGATACAGGACAAACGAACGCCATTCTCATCAACAGCCATTCTGCCTTGTGCCAGCGGCAGGCACAGGACCGGTTGTGGCATTTCCAAATGCAAGCCGTTCGCATAGTTCCATCCTGTCGCGTGCCCTCTAGGGCGACGCCGCGGCAAAGTTGCGCCGCTCGTCCTGCAGAATGGCCAGGCTCGTGTCCAGCACCAGCGACCCGTGCACCGGGTGCGTCGCAAACGCCCGCTCGACCTTGTCGAGCAGCGCGTCCGCGTCGCCCACGTTGCGGAACACGGGCCGCAGGCTGGGCACGGCGCGGACCTGCAGCAAAATCAAGTAGGCGGCAAAGAGCATCTGCAGACCGCACCACGACCCGAAGACGTCTTCGACGCACAGCCCGCCGCCGGTGCCGGCGGACGTGCCGCGCTCGTCGGGCGTTGGGAACGACAGTTGAATCAAGAGGGCGGCGCTCTCGATGCAGTCGCGGCACGACTCGAGGACCCAGGGCTCGCGGTCGACGTGCAGGGCGCGGATGTGGCCGGGCGGCTGGTCGGAGTTCTCCAGGTCGTTGTGCAAGAAAAGGTAGAGGACGGGGCGGTGGAGCAAAAAGACGCAGCTAAAGTAGCGCAGGGCGGTCTCGCGCAGCCGGAAGGGCATCGTTGTTGTCGTTGTCGTGGTGGACGGCTGGTGGATACGAAAGACAGTGGCATCGCGAACGAATTGCTGGTCGGGCGGCTGTGCCTGATACCATGTACGCAGACTGGCGCTCAGGCGCGCCACGATGTCGGCGAGCTCACGTGGCTGGGCGTAGGCCCTGGTCGGGCTATAGAGCAAATGCAGGATGCGGTTGAGCAGGATGCGCAGGCGGACATGATTTTCGACATGGGATGCTGGTGACCGATGTGGCGGTGGTCGTTGAAGGGAGTTGTGCTGCTGGTGGCTCTCGGTGTCCGGTGAGGCGGATGTGGATACTGACGCGGGCGCGGATGGCGTGGGAGGTGAGGCGGCATGGAGAAGAGAGGACACAGGAACCATTGAGCTGGTGCTGGCCGTCGCCAGTGGTGGCATGGCGAGCAAGGCTGCGCTCGACAATGTACAGAAACCGTTGAGTTCGGTGATGATGTCGCTGGATTGTCAGCACGTTAGCCAGCCTTTACAAGAATTAAAACCAGTCTGTTTAACGATGCTGCGACGTACCTCTCAAGAGTAAAGTGCAGCCGTGCGTACAGTGTGACCAGTCTGTTCGGTGAGTGAGAGAACACAATGCAAATGTCCAGATGAAGTGCGGCGAGGGACATACGGATCGCCAGGCTGCATCATGGCCATGTGCTTGATGGCTGGATCGATGGACTGGAGCAGTCCGCGCGCGTGGAACGGCCGCACCCAAAAGTCGGCCAGGTACTGGGCCAGGAACAGCACGAGCGGCACGCGAACTTCGGCTGGCCCCGCCTGTAGCGTCCACAGCTTCTGGAGAGCCAGGCTGCAGGTGTGTGCCGACATGGCCATGAGCGACTGGTTCGAGGGCGGGTCAAAGGGCGTGCGTTGGCGTGGGCGGTGCGGAGTGTCCTTCCCGTTGGCGCCTATGCACACGCGCGCAGCAATGGAGTACATCAGGAGCTGGGCGAATGACATGCGGTCGTAGTCGATGGCCGGCGACTGGCCGACGGGGCGGCGTTGTTGTTGTTGTTGTTGTTGTTGTTGTTGTTGTTGTTGATGATGATGCTGTTGATGCAGCTGCTCGTCGTGGTGGTGGTTGTTCGGGCTGTGGACGCGAGCGCCGTGAAACTGCTGCAGCTGTGTGGCCGCCGCCATGGTCGCCTCCTCCACAAGGTCCACGTCGGCGTCCATGGCATCGGTGGACGGCACCGGCTGGCTTTGACGGTTGTCCCTGCCATGGAAGATCGCAGCAAAGCTGGCCAGGACATGGTCCCGCTGCAGCAATGGCACCGCCTCCAGCAGGGCTGCTATGGCCAGGGGTAGGTTCTGCGAGATATTGGGATCGTACAGCTGCTCGAGGGCCAGGATGGCCTGCCAGGGCGCATAGGTGTCTTCTGTGTCAAGGCTTTTGCGGGCACCATCGCTCCCAGCCCGCTCCAGCAGCGCGTCGGCCTGGTCGCAGCGCGTCAGGTACGTCTGCGTGTCGAGCCCGGGGATGGTCATGTTGATCGTCAGCCGCGGCCAGCGAGTCAGCAGCTGGAATGCGGCGGCCGTGTGCAGATCCGGCGGCGTGCGAGTGCTGTCGTCGGACGCGTCGGCGTTTTGGCGGTCCAGCTGGCTCTGATCCTGGCTCTGATTTTGGTTGCTCTGCGGACTCCGGGCCTGGCCTTGACTTGTCGCCAGTACGTTTGCGGCCACAGTCCGGGGTGACGACAGCGCCGGAAACGCCGCCAGAAGCATGCGGTTCTTGTCCTCGATTGCCTGCAGCCGCGCCTCCGTGTCGGCGAGACGGGCCAGCACGGACGCATCAGACTCGAGGCCGGCCGGTGTCGGCCGGTAGAAGCACGTGCGGCCGGACTGGACGCAGTGGCTGCAGCGAGGCCGCAATCCGTCGCAGCGGGACTTGCGCAGGCGGCAGCTGTCGCAGGCCACGAGGACACGGCCGCTGCCACGCATTGTGGGCGCGGTGTTGGACGGTGCCGTACCGTTGGAGGACATCGTGCGCGATACTGCTCAGTGCTTTGCTCAGATCAGGCTGGGACATTCATGGAGGACGCCAGAGGACCAAAACATTTGTCAGCCGAAGCTGGTAGTCATCAGTGGTGAGAAAATAAGCATATCAAAAATAAGCATATCAAACTGGAAAACGCCTCCCAAGGGACACGGTCCTGCGTCTGCGCACTCCGAGAGAGACGGGGCACAGTTTATGAGGTGACAAATTGGGGAAGTGGATAATAAAGTTGGAGCGATGTGCGAGAGACCGTGTGTAGCGTAGTCTTTAGCGTCAATGCAGCGCATGTTGCAGTGCACTAGCGAAGTATTAGTGTTAGTGCTGCAGTGCAGCGACGTGCTTGTCTCACCTAATCTGTAGTAACAATCCCTTGCACTCAAGCAACTTATGCCATCACCAAACACGAGCGAATCAACAGCGACCTCCACGACATTGGCCACAGCTTCAATACCACGTACCCCCGTCCTCTGAAGCAACGGGTCCAGTCCCCTTTGGTGTTTTTGTTGGCACAAAATAACCCAAGGCCTTCCCGTTTGCCTCACCCAACACATACGAAAGCAGCATGGAACATCAACAGCAGCAGCGTCCGTCACCAGAACCTCTCACCAGCATCAAACTGCGCGGCCAGACCAAGAAGCGCTTAGCAGCACGTCTGCTGCAGATCCACCTGCGCGGCCGGCCCGCATCTGTCCCCACTACCACCACCACAAACACCACCACCGCCGAATATAAGCCTGTGCGCGTTGTCTGCGTCGCCGATACGCACAACACACAGCCCGTTCTGCCGGCCGGCGACGTACTGATCCACGCGGGCGACCTGACCGACAGGGGCTCGTTCGCCGAGGTGCAGGCGGGCCTGGCGTGGCTGGCGGCGCAGCCGCACCAGCACAAGATCCTCGTTGCCGGCAACCACGACGTGCTGCTGGACGATGCCTTTTTGGAGAAGCACCCAAAACGCCGGTATGGACAGTCCGCGACAGAGACAAAACGAGACCTGGATTGGGGCGACGCGACGTACTTCCAAGACCGGCACGTCTCGATTCGCGTGGGCGCCCGGTCGCTCACCATCTACGGCGCGCCCTGGACCCCGGCATACGGCGTCTCCGCGTTCCAATACCGCCCGGACTGCCCGACGCACTGGTCGCAACGGCTGCGCGCGTTTTCGCCGGCACAGCCACCCGACATTCTCGTCACGCACGGCCCGCCGAAGCTGCACCGCGACCAGCGCGACTTCTACCGCGCGTGCCTACTTGGCGGAGCAGGTGGCGCGCCTGCGGCCCCGGCTGTGTGTCTTTGGCTACATTCATGCGGCGTACGGACGGGAAGACGTCGTGGTCGACGCCGTGCGCTGGCAGCACGATGCCGTCGCGATCGGCTGGGCCGGCTGGGCCGGCGTGGTGTGGATGCTCATGCTCGTCGTGTGGGCCAAGACCACAGCCATGCTAGCAGCACCGCTGCGAATCTTGGGCATTCGCCACGACGAGAAAGTGACGACATTCGCCAACGCCGCCGTTGTTGGCGGGCCAGACAACAAGCTGCTAAATCCGCCGATCGTGGTGGAGATATGATGGGAGGTAGAGACGTTGCTTGTGCCGAACGGGTCAGATACAGTGTAGACGTGAAAGAAGACGTAACCAGGCACGATGTCTACTGGGTGTGGCCTAGTGACCGATATCTGGAACTCGCTAGCGGCTAGACAGAACGATGGAACTCCAAACAGCTCTATCGACGTCGTGTCTGATGCCGACAATTGCCTGAATGGCATTTACTTGGCCCAGCGCTCTTAGGTAAATCACTTTGTGTGCCTGAGGATGTAAAAATACTCTAGAACTGTTTTGCTATTCACGTCGCCAGTGCCCATAGTCCATAGTAGCGCAGATAACCCAACGCGACCGGCTTGTGGCCTGCTGCCTACGGCACGTACGGATATTTGTAGAAGTAAAGGTACTCCGATGACTAGGCCGTTCATTTCGTAGCCCATCTCTTCCCACGGCCTACAACAGAGTTCCCTTGTTCTGCCGGCGGTCGACGTTGTAGTTCTTCCACAGCAGAATGGCCGGGATGCCCAGGACCAAAAAGGCCGTCGACGAGATGCAATTGACGCGCTGGCTCTGGCCCCAGGCAAAATTGATGGCCTCGCGCGCGGGCGTGCCCATCGGGTACGTCAGCTGCAGCGTCGAGCCGCCGTTGAAAATCGTCTCGGTCTGGTTCTTGAGGTCGTCGGGCAGGTGGCTGCGCAGTGCGTCCGGGAAGGTGTTGACGTAGATGGCCTGCGCCACGGCGTAGCCAATGGAGCCGCCAAAACTGTTGAACAGGTACAGCAGCGCCAGCATCATGGGCACTCCGTCGCGGTCGGCCGCCGCCATGACAGCCATGCTCTGGCCGATCACGAGCGTGCCGCCGCCAAAGGCAATGAAGATCTGGCACATGACAATGAGGCCAATGTTGGCGTCCTGGCCGCGGAAGCGGATCATCAGACCCGAGCCAAGGAACATCAGCACGAGGCCAAAGCAGAGGCAGGCGTACTTGAAGTGCTTGGTCTGGCGCACAAACACGCCAAAGACGACGCCCCAGAAGCACGAGCCGACGTTGTAGATCTGCGTCATGTAGCCGGTTTGGGCGATGCTCAGATCGTAGACGACCTGCACAAAATAGTAGTAGTACAAGTCCCAGGCGTAGAAGCTGTAGTACAGGACGGCGGCCAGCATGCAGGCGCCGACGACGGTCCGCTTCTTGAACAGCTCGTAGCGCACGAAATGCACGCGCGCAAAGTAGCGCTCCCAGACATAAAAGACGGGGAAGAGCAGGATGCCAATGACGACCATAGCAATAAAGGACGCCGACTTGTACTCGGCGCGGCCGTTGGTCTGCAGACTGAAAGGCAGCAGGAACAGCACCCAGGCCGCCATCAGAATCAGCATGCCGATAATGTCAAACTCGTGGATGTAGTGCAGCGTCGACTGCCACCAGGTGCGGCCTGACTTGGCACGCACAAACAGGCCCATCGTCTCGGCCTTGCGCTGGAAGAACTTGAAGACGACGACGAGCGGCGTGAACACAAAAAACATGATAATGACAAACGCGCCAATGGCCCAGCGCCACGTCGCGTGGTCAATAAAGGCCTGCGCCGCCAGCGGGCCCGTGAAGGCCGTGCAGATGAAGGGGGTCGACACGAACGCAAAGGCAAACGCCCGGTTGCGCAGGCCCGAGGTATCGGCCACAAAGACGTCCATGATAAAGTACAGCGCGTCGTAGCCAATCCAATACAACACGTAGCCGGCCGCGTAGCCGTTGGGGCCCTTGCACGAGGCAAGGACAATCATGCCCAGCAGGTAGATGAAGACAAAGAACAGGAAGCCCTCGGCACGGCCCCAGACGTTGAGCACCTTGGCAATGGGCAGCTTGACGACGCCGCCGATGACGGACGCCAGGATGCTGGCCGTGCCCAGCTGCGGCGCCAGCTGGAAGTCGTTGTACGCGTAGTAGGTGACGTTGCTGAGGATCGACTGCTGCAGGGCCAGCATGAAGAAACAGACCCAGATCCAGACGTAGGTCAGCAGCACGGCCTTGCGTGACCACACCAGAGCGGCGGCCTCGGCCTTTTGGACACCGAGCTGCGCTTTTTCGGTGACGACGCCACCATGCTTCTGGACCTCGAGCTCGTTTCTGGCCTCGAGACTCAGTCGAGACAAGTCATCGCTGCTGGAGTTGGCCTCCTGTTGCGGTGGTGCGACGGCCTTCTCGTTGTCGCCGCCGAGGACGCCGATGTCAGCACCGGTGGTTGTGGCTTCGGGGGCCGCGTATTCGCCGGCTGTGGGCCCGATGACCAGTGAATCGACAGCCTTGTTGCGGCCGCGGATGTTCTGGAATACACTCATCGTTGGGGGGTGGAAAGAAGAAAGATTAAAAGAGGATTAGAATTAAAACAAGACAAGACGAAGAAGCTGTACCGGAACAGCTTGGCAACATCCAAGGGATGAATGGACGGAATGGAGTGCCAAGAGAAACAAGAAAAATGAACAAAATCAAAGGAAGAGGAAAGGGTCTGATTCTTAAAAGATAGGATACTCGAGAAAAAGGACGGAGGTGGAGAGGGAGAGTAACAATTCTGTCTTCAGTGCTACCCAACCAGAGCTCCGACTGCGCGGAGTGCAAAGATTGACATGCTAGGGTAGGACCAGGAGATGGATGAACCTATCCAGGCCCCACGGTCAAGCCCCACGGCAGAGCAGCTTCCTGAGAACGGCCATTGAACAGACGTGGCGGGGACGGAGAAAAGATGGTAGCCAGGGGATAGAGTCGTCGACAACGTTGAAAAAACGAAAACTCTTCGGATAGATAAGATGAAGTGCTTGGTCAAAGACTCCCCACGCTAAGACTTTGGTACTGGGGGTGGTGCATGGGAGGACAGGAAAGTGCGATTCATCGGATCAAGCAAAAGCAGGCAAAGGAGGAAGGAAGGGACCGAACTCGCTCAAGTTGGTTAGTTATCCAGTTTCCCAGTTCAACCTAGTGTGGTAGGAGCGACTTGCGCCGCGTGTACATCCATCTCCAGACGCGAGGCAAGAGCAACAAGAGCAAGCAGACCAAAAGACACGCGCCTGCCATGCCCTGCGTACGAGAAATACAAGCACGGCAAACCATCAACTTGAGGAAAGAACGACGGCCAGCAATCAAATGACAACAACTGCAACCGCATAGCCGACGCAGAGCACACCATGGAAGAAGAAAAACGAGAAAGGAACAAGACAGCAACAGCAAGAAAGCAAAGCCCGACTGCCCGAAATGCCTGCCGTGGAGCAGAAGAAGAGTCTGAGGGGCCCGGCTTGCACAACTAGCACCTCGACTAGCACCGATTTGGGCGATGCGTACCGCCAAATTCGCATCTGATTACGGGACATATTTCAGTAGTGGGGCACCCTAAGACAAATTCACGCAAAAGACGATCTGATAACTCAAAAAACACTCTGACTTCGTACGGAGGTATCAATCCAAGGGGTGTGGGACTGGCTAGGACACCATGGAAGGATGGGGCCATGGTGGAAACAAGAAGGAAATTTCAACTCAGCGCCGATCCATCTGATAATACTACGTTGTTGTGGCTCGACGTGGTGGAATTGGTATGGTGCTGGGGACTTTTACGTCTTTGCCGACTGTGGATGAGAAGCAAAGCGAGCATAATCGACAGAGTAATTACCGCGTGCTCGTCGACGACAAAATCAGAATCATCACTCTAGCAGATCTTGTAGTGATAAGATTATCTATGTCGTACACATCACATACAAGTGATGCCCTAGACAGCATGCTGGCACAGCATAGTCTCGCTTTTCTTGGCTGGAGAGCGGGCAAGCAGTCAGCAAGACACATGTTTTCTCGCCCCCTCTATGCTGTATTGATGTCCACATTGTCTCCGTTTTCGATGTTTGCAGTTTCGCTCCCTCAAGGAGGAGCGCGATATTACCGACCTTGCGTAACTACATTAGTCTTGAAATGGTCGTCTCGTACCTTTGTACCAGATATGTTTGCCCCGTCACTGTAATCAACGTGTCCCACGCCTAGTTCGAAAACCTCCTTTCCTTCGTCCGTTTGGTCCAACTCGCGGCGTTTTCTCCTTGTCCTTTTGTGTAAAAACTCTTTTTCAATCATGCAGAACAAGCTTGCGCTTGCACTTGGTGCTTCCGTGGCAGCCATATGCTATCCCAACGAAAACTCGTCTTGGCTAAAGCTTGTTTTTTCTCTTTCCTCTTTTCCTCTTTTCCTCTCCTTCATTCCTCTTTCCCAGCTCTACGACTCGCCGGTTGCGGAGGAGACTGAGAACAAAATGAAAGAATATATGACAACTGGACGGCAACAGAATCGTGAGACACTCCGTTTCTCCGACAAGATCGCAGTTTACCAAGGTCGTAGCCCTGCAAATGCCGTGTAAAGTCCGTAAGGTGTCTTTTTCGTACCACGCTCTCCAGCACCACGGACCCATCCTGGCATGCATGTCTGTCTCCTCCGTACGCGAAGCTGCCGCGTCTGCCAAGACAGTAAGTACCTTGAACAAATAAGGCATTTAAAGCAGGTAACACAAACGTTAAGAAAGGGACATCTGTGACATCCTGCTGGAGAATGAGGAAGACGAATTAAAGAAGAACGTCAAGACGGCAATCACCGTGACGATCGATGTACTCCTTCTGAGTACGGAGCAGTCCAGTTGACGTCTCTCCTGTTACTCCCACTACTTGGGACCTCTCACTATCACCAGGAATGCACATTGGCACGCACCTCCGGAAGAGCTCCAGCAGGCTGGAAAAGAAACATGCATTTCTGGCATCGTACATCGCTTTACGTCGTTGTCTCGCGAAACAAACACAGCTCCATTGATAGATTACGACATGCCAATCGTGGTCAAAGTGCTGAGTCCCAGCATGATCACTTTTTAGCACACAGTTAAAATCAATGTCAAAATCAAAATCAGCACGTGAATGTCGGATCGGCCGCTTCAAAGAAGCGCATGACAGCCATTGTGATCACAGGGTAGCTCATGATCGCATCATGCAAGCCAGTCTCCAGGATTTCTTCCCGGATCACACCGTACTCTGTCCGCCATTCCATAACGGACCCGGCGGCTCCGAGATCTCGTCTTTCGTCCGTTTTTTTCTGTTCAAGTTCGTCGTGACTGATGCCATCTGGCACAGAAGCATTGACGGCATGCCAAAAGAGGGCCGGTGTGTGATTCCAAGGAATGTCGTAGTCGTCCTTTGCGTGGATGATGGTCAGACGGTAATCCGTTTTCTGCTGCTCGTTGGCACGAACGTATTGGGCAATGCGATCTTTGCTGGGCCACTTGTCCTTGATAAAGTGTTGCAGAGATGTAAACAACCAAGGAAAGCGAGCGAGCGGTGACAAAATCGGCACGGTGCCTGCCACACAATATGTCGCTACCAAGGTTGCCACATCGACAAAGGGCGCGACAAGGACTGTGCCTGCAAAGACCACAGGCTGCGGTTGCAAAGCAAGGCGCTCCGAGAGAGCGATGCTCACGGCGGTGCCCATCGACTGTCCAAAGATGACGATACGCGATGGCGGTATGCCTGCGACGTTCATCGCCCAGTCCACGACAGCCAGCGCATCGGTGATGAGCCCGCTTTCGGACGGTGTGCCTGTGCTTCGTCCAAATCCTCGGTAGTCAAATGTCAAAACATGTATCTTGCCCGGCTGCCCCGCGGACAGCGCACGGTAGTTGGGGACCCTGTAGCCGGAACCGACCGTGCCTCCAGCGCTGTGCAGGTGAAGGACCAACCGGGCTTCGGGGTCGTCGCGAAGGAGTTGGAACGCGAGCCGGCGGGTGATGTCCCCGGCGAAACCGGCTGGCTCTGCAACGAGAGACAGTTCGTGCTTACGATACAACTCCACGGGGAGAATGTGCCAAGCATGCAGCTGTTCGCCGTCAATCGTCTTTACCGAGAACGGTGTTACCTGATTTCGTAGAAACCAAAGGTCTCGGGGACATCGAGATCCCTGAACCATGTCATCTGAACTGCATGCAGGTACACCGCATGGGACTGGAACGTAGATGTTGTGAGAAGCCCCAAGAGCGCTGCGTAGAGGCCGACGACAGCCGCAACCGATATGGAAGCGTACTTGATAGCGGACACGGCCATTTCGGCGATGGCCATGGGGATGCTTTGTTGGATTTGGCCAGGGTGTGGACGGATGGGCGGAAGATTTATCACTGAGGCGGAGAAATGTAGTAGAGCTGTTTCGTACCTGAATCTATGGTTCTATGTAAAGAAACATACTCTTTAGTAGACGTGCGGTCGGCTACGGAAGAACTCTTCTCCAACGGTCAGTAAGACCTTGCAGAGTGTATGGTGACAGGCAACTTGAAGCCTAGTCTACACCGTATGTGCACTTCGTGCAGCGCATACAGAACAAAGTGTAGTCTTTATTTTCAATGTCGACTAAATACGATGATTGTGTGCCTACGGCTTATCTCTTTTATAATTACACAAAGGTCATCCTTTTATGTGCATTTATGTCATATCTTTTTTTACAATAGCATACAAACAAAAATAACTACAGATTTTAACTTCTTCAAATGAGCATACTGTCAAAAAAGAACCCTACGAGTAAACAAAAGTTCGCATCTTTCTATTTTGAGTTGTCGAGATTCAATCTGACAATGGTGGTAAACCGAAATCTCAAAAGCATCTGCGTTGAAACAACACCAGCGAGGCTGATGCTGACGACGACATTAAGCGTTGCCTTCCGAGACAAGTATTTGCAGCCGTGCCAACCATGCCAGCCATGTGTGACTGTGCCGCTGTCTTGCTAGAACTGCGTCGTGCATCGTAGTAGCTGTGGCCTTGCCGCTGACTGTTTTTGTTGCCTACAGCGACTGGCGGACGACACGGATCTCGCCTTTATAGCAGGACTGATAAGACGCGGGACGCGGGAGGCAAAGCCCTGAGATAGGCAAAGCCCTGAGATGAGGAATTGAGTGCGAGCCGCACCAGATTTGGGCCGAAGGTACGAGAAGACACATACACGTGCATCAGCAAACAAGACGATATTACGAGGCGACATATAGAAGTGCCGCCTGCTACCGAAACCCAGCCTCGGACCTGGTTTTCTTTCGTCACGTCTGTTCTCATTCACGGCTTAATTGGCCAATTTTGAAGTGTGACGTATTTGCCGTCTCATATTTCCCTGGAAGCCACAGGCCCTGCAGAAGCGCCCTGCAGCCCTTTGCCAGCCACACAGCCATACAACGCAGACGTGTGCGCTCCAATGCCCCTACCCGAGACATCATGGTAGCCTGCAGTGGTTTGTGTCCTGCAGGCATTTCGGCTCGGGTAGCATTGAGAACAATGCCCTTCGTGCAGCTATTGTCCAAAGTAGTATGTTGCACACCGTGATACAGCACAAGATTGCAAAAGGCTCATCGTCACAATTGCAAGCGAAAAGAGGGCAAACGAAACGAGCAACAGAGAGTGCCACATTGGGACTATCTCAATGCGTAGGGAGCCGTACCTTGGCTGAACTCGTGTTGTCAATGTCCGATACGAGAGGCCCAATCAAAAGCGGAATCAAAAATCGAAATCCCCTTAACTATCTCAACAAAAAAGAACCAATGTAGAAACAAGCTGCACTAGCGGTCGGGTTCCTGGCGCGCCTCATGCGGTCCACCCGCAATGCCGCCAAAAAGCATCAGCTCACAGCGGGGAGCGTCCGTGAGGTGGTCTGTGAATGTCGTCAGTAAACCCTAAAAAGGGCGTCAAGCTGTAAAGTGAAGTTCCTGCATAAAAAGGTGAGAGGATCGGCACAAAGACGCCGTGCAGCAAGGACTAGGTCGGCACTTCGCTCGTTATTCGTGTCTGGCAGGGGTTCAACCAGCGTAGCAAAAAAACGAGGGAGAGATACGGGTCGAACGAACACGAAATTGAGGAGAATACATTTCGTAAATCGAGGGGAAATGAGAAAGTCCGCGGGGGGAAGAGGAGAGACAGCGCACGATGGCAACAGCGGAGAAGACGATGCCTTCCATGGTTTAAGACGAGCTGTACTCTCCCGGCCGCTCCCAACGCCAATTGCGCCTTCATAGCAATAAGGTCAGTTCAGATTGTCACAGTGAGATTCTGGTCTGGCCAGCCGAGACCGTCTTCACGAAGAGGATGAACGTGAAAGGCACGATGCAACTCGAAAACAATATGTCGCACGGACTACGGCATACTTTGAGTCGGTTTTGGCTGGGCCTGTCGTGCTGAATACTTGAACGCATCCATGTTACCATCCCATGGGCTAGCCCTGGTGTAGACTAGTCTGTGACGTTGATAGGCGGGAACGTACAAAGGGCCAGTAAGACGACCATCCTGTCCCTGCAGGCCGCTACGAGCGGTCTGTGATCCTGCAATACGCAAAGCTGAACTCTGTTTGCGTGTGCCGTGCGTGCTGAATGCTGAATTGGAGGGAGTAGGGGGGAAACCAGCCGGCACCTTCCCTGTCTGTTATTGCCCCAAGAGAGCAATTAAGATTGCCGCTTTCCGCATTTGTGCGTTTGTTGACACCTCCCTCGACTCGTTCTTTCTCGATCTGATCGAGTTGCCGTGCTTGTGTTTTCGCTGCTTTCTGTTCCCTCCTGCCTTTTCTATTTGTCTTTCCTCGCTGGCTGTTCATTCTTTCTCTCTGCCGAATTTGTCCCTCGATTGCACTTTCCACTCTTAAACTTCCTGTCCGAGGCCGCTGTCCAGTCGCCTGTGTCTTACTTTGTACATTTGGTTTCTACCAGCTGTTAGCTTGACTGCGCCTGCCCGCACTAAGTTGCACACCATCGCACCTGCCTCGACCCGACGAGCCGGCCTTCCAAACGTGAATAAGATCACCTGTCTTGATTTTCTCAGCGCCCGAACGCAGATCATCGACGTCAGCTTTTCTCGCCATTTTCTCGCCACTGAACCCAAACCTCTTGCAGCACATTTCTGCGTCTCGATTTCTCTAGAACCTTTTCGTCGTCTCCTTCGTACCGTATACAGCATCACAAACATTAACAGTGGCTTTTTCAGCTTCGGCATTCCGACCCTGGCAATCAACGCTCACTCGGTGCCATATTCCACGCCTTTCTTCACAATTTCCACTCCTCGTTCGCCTAACCGGCCTCCACGTGAGCGCCACTGTGACCATCCATTTCTCTTGAAGTGCACGACTGATCTCACTGCGCCGGGCCTCCCTGCGATCGGCGCTTCTGGTTACCTACACCAGCTCAATCGCAGACCAACGTTCTTAACGCACCAACGCTGCTCTCGATTCTGCTTCTTTTGCCTCCTTTCCGTCATTCTTGAGCTTCGTCTCCTACCGTCCGATTTCGACGTTCGCGACAGTTTTCAGAGTTTCGGCGTCTATATGCTTGAAATTATAGTCGCTCGCCGATTCCATCGAATTCCCCCTTTTGAGGGCCAGCCATTCTTGGCTGAAAGTACCCTCGCCGTCCCCCTTCCCCATCCTCCGCCTTTTGTCACATTCCAGCAATGACGACCGATGAAATGGAGAAAAAGGATGCAACGGTTGAAGCTGAGGAGCCCAAGGTCGTTCTGCAGCCGGTCACGGGTGCCTTCCCTGAAGATGTCGACTCTGCCGAACCATCACCAAATTCCGCCAACACATCCGCCGCTTTGCCAGCCGAACACGAAACACAAGATGACGCCAAGGACGCAGCGGCCGCAACAGATGATGCGAAAGACGTCTGTCTTCCTTCCCGCTCGGGAAATCACACGTATTCCCACTCCGACGCCCCCGCAGCAGCCCCGATAAAAGAGAATACGCCGTCGTTACGCAAGGCAAACTCGACCACCGAGCTGGCCGCAAACGCCGACGATGCCACCGCGACACTGTCTACACCGATACGACGCTTGCCCTCGTCCCTTTCGTCGAGCTCCATTGAGGACCAGGACATCAGCACTATCCCGGACCCGCGTCTACGCACCGGCAACCTGGCCTCGGGCAGCACGGACACCGCCGCGCAAGACGAGATCACAGCGCTCAGCACGAAACTCATCGACGCCATCAACCGCCAGAGCACACTCGACGACACACTCTCTCAAACCCGCATGGAGCTCGAAGAGTCCCGCGAGCAGGTTCGCAAGCTGGAAGCACTCGCTGCTCGTCAAAAGGAATTCCTCTCTGGTGGCCTGTGGGTGCGGAAGTCGGCCGTTGAGGAGGAGAAGCAAGCCATCCTGGCCAAGTCGCGGGATGAGAAGCGTCTACGTCTCGAGGCGGAGAGTGCCAAGTCCAAGATCGAGCTCGAGCTGGAGTCCTTGACGGCCGAGCTCTTCGAGCAGGCCAACATCATGGTGGCCGCGGCCAAAGAAGAAGCCCGCGCCGAACAGGTCGCCGCAAACCGCCGCTACGACAATCTCAGGGGCCAGCTGGCCGATACCGAGGTCCTGCTCAAGTCACAACAAGAGCAGCTTACTCAACTCAAGCAAGTGATGGAAGAGATAATCCAGAACGGGGCGGCCGGTAGCGATGACCACACCACGGCCCTCACCACGCCGACGTCGCCCGGGTTTGGCCAGTTCGACTTTAAAGACGCTGATGCACGGTCCGTCTCCGAGAAGCAGGCGGATGGCGCCGCTGACACAGAAACAACCGACGACGCAGAGACGACCAAGACGGACGAGGACCCGTCATCCTCGGCGTCCGTTGCGGCCCCTGCAGCCACCACCGTACCCACAACTGTCGTCCTTTCGCCCACAGTTGTTCCGCCGACGTCATCAACACTAGCAGCACAGACACCCGACACGGTTCCCCAATCCCCGTCCCAGCCGATGAGCTTCACGCACCTGCTTCGGCCCGTTCTCCGCTACGACACGAACGCTTTCCACGAGTTTGTCGACCTTATCCGCACCGCGCAAATCCAGCTCATGCTGCACATGCAAAGCTTACCCCAATCCCATGTCCGGTCCCCTTCCTCGACGTCGCTTCCGAAAACACCGCCTATGAACAACACCAACTGGAACGCGACAACCTCCAACTCCTCTACCACTGTCCAATCCTCTGTCGTCTCCATGTCGGCTGTCAATGCCTTTGCTACCGTCGCGTCCGGTCTGTCCGGGTCCTCCAACGCCAATTCGCCACAAAACCACACCAAGGAGCTCAAGGAGACGAGATTTTACAAGCG